GAGAGGAATATCGTTACTAAATACAACATATAAAATATTGACATCAATAATAAAAAAGAGGTCAAAGATCACAAAGAAGACAGTAGGACAGTACCAATGTGGATTTACAAAAGGAAGATCTACAATAAATGCAATACACACAATAAAACAAATAATGGAAAAAGCAAACGAGTATAAATTAGAATTGGAAATGTTATTCATAGACTGAAAACAGGCATTTGATTCAATTAAAAGGATCGGATTAATGGTAGCACTTACAAAATTAAAAAATTTCACATAAACTCAAAAAATGAATAGAAATGACAATGAGAACTACAAAAATAAGTATAAAGACATAAAGAGGAGAGACAGAGGAATTCGGTATAAATAAAGGGATAAAACAAGGAGATGCCTTATCAACAATGCTATTTAATCTAGCATTAGAATATGTACTACGAAAAAAAAATAAAGGAAATCTCAGAACAAGAGGTGGTCCAATAATTGCGTATGTAGACGATATTGCTATTATTGCAAAGAACAGAAAAATAATAAAAGAAATGCTAGAAGAAATAAGAGAGAAGGGGAGGTAATGGGGATAAGATTAAATCAAGAAAAGACAAAAATATTAAGATTAGGGAAAAAACCAATGAAAGAAAAAATTAAAATAGGAAGTTCTGAGTTTGAAAAAGTAGAATACTTTAAATACCGAGGAGTTACAATAAGTAAATCCGAAATAAAGGAAAACATATTAGCAGCGAATAAAGCTTATTTTGCAAACAAAAGATTACTTAAAAGCAAAACTCTGACTAAAAAAGTAAGATGAGCATTTATAACACCATAATTCGACCAATATTATTATATGCAGGAGAAACAATGACGATGGTTAAAAAAGATGAAGAAGACTTAAGAATAGCAGAGAGAAAGATTATGAGAACCATACTAGGACCAATCAGAACAGAGCAAAATGAATGTAGAAGCAGAACAAATGCAGAAATTAAGGAAGAACTTAAGGAAGACATCGTAACTAAAATAAAGCAATGCAGAGTTAGATGGTTAGGTCACATTTGGCGAGCAGGCGATGAGGCAGTGACATACACAATGATAGAATGGAATCCAGGAGGAAGAAAGAGAAGGGGAAGACCAAGATCAAAGTGGCTGCAAGAAGTTGAAGAAGACCTCCAAAGGGCAGGAGTCAAAGAATAAAGAGGAAGAACTAGAGACATGAAAAAAATGGAGAATTGTCAAGAAGATAAGATAAACAAAAAAGACTGATCTACTTAAGAAATAGGATCTAGAAAGCATTTGCGCTTTAACCCCACACTGAGGTGTATAGCCATTATATATATATATATATATATATTATATATATATATATATATATATATATATCATTTTTCTTCTTCTCTCATTGACATAATCCAACATTCTGCATTATATGTTGCTATTGATTATTTGTGTGTTTCTTTAAAACTTTAAAATTTATAACGTATGTTGTAACGTATATTGTAAAGCTGGATTTTTACCAACCTCGGGAACAAGCTCGTTTTCACAATAATTACGGCACAAACGATCATCTGCAATGCCTTAAAACCCTGATAGAAAAAACTAACGAATATAACCGTCCCTTGGCATTGATATTTGTGGACTTAAAAAGACGTTTGATACAGTGGAACTACCGTTCATCTTAAGAGCACTACAAGATTGCAGGATCGACCACAGATATTGTAATATAGTCAAAAATGTATATGAAAATGCCAGAATAACCATAAGTCTACATTCTGCAACTAATGAAATAAAGATAAAAAGGGGAGTCAGGCAAGGTGATACCATGTCACCAAAGCTGTGCAATACCGATCTTGAGTATGCATTTAAAAAACTAACATGGCAAGAAAACGGAATATCCATCGATGGAGAAAGATTAAACCATCTACGTTTTGCGGACGATATCGTGCTTCTGTCAGATAATCTAGGAGAGATCAAAGACATGCTCCAAGAACTGAATGACATACTACAAGAAACTGTACTTGAGATAAATTTCGAGAAAAACCAAAATGATGACCAATATGGTTCCCAGCGAAGAGATACAGATTAATAACAACAAGGTCGAATTAATCGATAAATACGACTTGGGTCAAGAAATTAGAATAACCAGAGACATATGGAAGGATGAGAGACATTTTTAAAACAAATATCCAAATTCACCTGAAAAGAAAGGCATTTAACCCATGCATCTTACCAGTCTTGATCTATGGAGTAGAGACCCTAACTTTAACGAAAGCTACTACCAAAAAACTGAGGGTAAAACAAAGGCGAATGGAGAGATCAATGCTGGGCCGACCTTGAAAGATCGCGTGAGAAATGAGGAGATACGCCGACGAACTGGCGTAGACGATATTATACTGCAAATCAATAAACAAAAGTGGAGGTGGGCTGGACATGTTGCTAGAATGGAAGACGGAAGATGGACGAAGAGATTATTGGAGTGGAGACCAAGAGCCGACAAGCGAAGTCGAGGCAGACCAACCACCCGATGGACCGACGACCTATGGAGAATAGAAACAAACTGGATTGCAGCAGCTAAAGATAGAGAGAACTGGAGACGTTTGGAGGAGGCCTATATCCAACAATGGATGTGAAAATGGGGCTGGATGATGATGATCATATTGTAACGTTCAAACTAAACATCAAAATAATAACTCTTTTCTTTTTTTTCGGTTTACCCTTTACGAGTACAAGAAATCTATTTGCCAAGGTTTTTTTGCTTAGATGAGAAGATATGTTGTGGACTGCAATTTTTAGATTATCCATATCTCTCGATTATTTAAAGCAAAAATCTGAATTTTTATCAGAAATCTGGTTTCATTTATAGAAATCTTCGCATTTATACTTTTGTGATATATTATAATTATAGTATGGTATGAATTATTTTCTTTTCTCTATTCTCAAACCGTAAAATCAAAACTTAAAAATGCCCGGAAATGTGAGCAGACAATATAAATAATTCGTATTCAAATTAATTATAAGTTAATGGAAAATATAGAACAGCTAAATGATTTTAGGTGACAAATTCTGGATTCACACAGGAAACAATTTTCTTAGCAGAAGTCCTGAGCCTTTAACCCATCTAGGTCTTCCGGAATATGTCACAAAGATAGACGCAGTTCAAAACTGGAAACGCAATAGTAAGTAATATTTGTACTAACCTTACTTTTTCTGTTAGTTCTGAATCTTTTATATATAAACATTAAATCGATATGATCTTCATATAAACTATTATTAAGAGTAAAACAATTTTCCACGTAAATCTACAATAATATATGGCAAATATATATATATATATATATATATATATATATATATATATATAAACAATATATGTCAAGAATTATAAACCAACATAATACAAGAAGTATAATAACCAATTCCACCAGAATGACATGAATCTACAACCCGTCAGGACAAAACAGAGAAAAATACAAACAATTGACTTCTATGACCACTATGACTAAGGTGTAGAGGAAGGTCTAGAAGAAAATAACTGTATGATGTGGAAAATGTATAAGAGCCATGAATGTAAAGAGAAGAAAGGTCAATGCAAAGAAAGAAAGTTCCAAAGTCCATAATTTTTGCAGGTACATCATAGTAACTGGAACAAAAGTAAAAAATGTAAAAGAACACTCAACATTCAGACTGTTGTGGTAATATTTATATATTTGTAAAACAAACAATTACGTCCATAGTCTCTTTTTATACAGAATTTTAAAAGATAAGATATTTCATAAAAAATATTAATTTTGTTACTTTTACAAATTTTATTTATAAATATCTAGATATTTAAACAACTTGCTTTATACTTATATACTATATGTCAAGATTTTGATAAAATTATTACTTCTTAAGATCCGGTAATTAAAAATACAAATAGGCAAAAGAAATATTAAATAAGACTTACTCACAATCAGTTTAATTTAACTATCTAGACGACCGGTTTCGCTTTCTACAATATTCAAAGCATCTTCAGGTCTATGAATACAAAGTTAATTTAATGCTGAAATAATAAAACCCAAATTAGGATGCTGTTTTATAAAGATAAATAAAAATAAATGATATAAATTACAGTAATTATGCCAATATAACATGTTCTGTAATTTTGACTAAATTGAGTTAGTTATAATAGAAAATTTATTTCAATTATTCAGATTGTAACATTTAAATTTAACTTTAATTATTTAATGATTGTTAAAAGTATGCCAATATTAAACATATTAACTTACTTTTTATACATTTAAAAATTTTTAGAGACATTTATTAATGTCTGCTTATTTCAAAGAGCTGGTTAACTTAACTTACAGTACTGGGAAATATAAGAAGAACTGTGACACTTTAACCTACATTAGCTTGTCAAATTTACCTCTAAAATCTAATAGACAACAACAAACTCATTGTCTTTAAGTCAAAGATGTAGTGCTTTTAAGTCCCCCTTTTTCAAATTTAATATCTGTTTCGTCCTCTTTTTTAAGTGTGTTCTGTTTGTCCTTAAGTGTCCTTAATTGTTTTAGTTTGAATAATTTTACATACTAGACTTCATTTCACATACACTCATTTGCCATATATTAGTAAGTCAATTGAACTTTATCAAAGAAATTTGATAATTACAAGTTGAAGAAAAATTGTACATCTAATTTCATTCATTGTCATACAACTGTCACCTTAATAAAATCTCAATAAATAACACATGTTTTATAAATATATCTCTTGAATAAATATAAATAACTTTTAAAGAATTAAATAATAAAAAACATCACTCTCATTTAACAAACAATCACATTAAACCTATTTTCTACTTCATTGGATAAAATCTATCTCCTCAAGAAACTTCCCCGTTTATTGTCAATTACAATAGTAAAAACTGAAGTTCTCCATTCAGCAACACAGGATAGTTTGAACTATGTTCTTCTAACCATTAATTAATAGAGTACCGGCATGTTAGTAATGTTTTGTTTATTTACTAATTTATTACAATTCAATAGACTATTTTTATATCAATTTGTGGGTCTTACTTTATCTGCTTAAACAGTTTATTCATTATTTGAAATCCACAGACATGTAATATTGGCATAATTACTGTAATTTATATCATTTATCTTTGTTCATCTTTATAAGACAACACCCTAATATGGGTTTTAATATTTCAGCATTTAATTAACTTTGATCGACAGACCTAAAGATGCTTTGCATATTGTAGAAAGCGAAAGCGGTCATCTAGATAGTTAAATTAAACTAATTATTGTAAGTAAGTCGTATTTATTATTTCTTTTGCCTATTTGAAATGGACTCACACAAGCAACACATTCATGATTTAAAAATACAGAATTCTGCTTTTCGGTGAAGAACTTCCAATCAAGAATAGATTCCTAACCCAATAATTAACAAAAATGGTTTATTTTCATCATCATCATCAGTGGTGCTGCAGCTCTAGTTGAGCCTTCACCTTCCCCAGTCTATTTCGCCAGTCGTTTCTGTTCATCGCCAACCGTTGCCAATTTGCCGCGCCGATTTTCCTTGCGTCCTCGTCCACACCGTCCCTCCATCTCAGTCGTGGTCTGCCTCTACTCCTATTTCCCACTGGGATCGATAATAGAGTTCGTCTGGGTGGGTAATTTTCATTTGCGCTTGACACATGTCCAGCCCATCTAAGCCTACCTATTTTTATGAAGGATATTACATCTCTACCATTTACTATTTTTTTATACTTCTCGTACAATTCGAAATTATATCGCCTTCTCCAAATACCATTCTCACAGAATGCGCCCATTCTTCTTCTTAGTATCTTCCTTTCGAAGAGAAGCAGAAGATTTGCGTCTGTTTTGGAGATGGTCCATGTTTCTGACCCATATGTCAGCACTGGTAGGATGAGTGTTCGATATATTATTAGTTTGGTTTTCTGGCTTAAATTTCTGTTTTTTAGCTGCTTGCTTAGTCCAAAATAACATTTGTTTGCTAGCAGTATCCTCCGTTTAACTTCTTCAGATGTGTCATTATCGTTTGTTATGAGAGAACCCAAATATGTAAACTTATTTACTACCTCAAAATTATATTGGTCTATACTGAAGTTTTGTTCGGCGTTTCTAGCTCTATCTCTGTTATTTGGAATAGATGCTAACATTTGTTTTTGGTTTTTTCCTCGTTTATTTTAAGGCCCATATTTTGTGCGGCTGTCAAGAAGGTGGAAGTCATCTCTTTAAGTCCTCGTGTAGTACGTGCAATCAAATCCAGATCGTCAGCGTAAGCCATAATCTGCGTTGATTTATTAAAGATTGTTCCCCTATTGTGTAACTCGGCATCTCTTATAGTCTTTTCTAACGCTATATTAAAGAGAAGGCACGCCAGCGCGTCTCCCTGCCGTAACCCTACATATGTTTCAAACACTTGTGACATATCGCCTTGTATTTGCACTCTGCAGATCACTTTACTCATAGTTGTTTTTACGAGCCTTATTAATTTATGGGGAATGTTAAGTTCATTCATGGCTTCGTATAATTTACCTCTTAGGACGCTATCATACGCTGACTTAAAGTCCACAAAGAGATGGAACGTGTCAATATTAAATTCATTGGTTTTTTTCTAAGATTTGACGTAGCACAAAAATCTAGTCAATTGTTGACCTACCTGGCCTAAAACCGCTTTGATACTCACCAAGGATTTCTTCCACGTACGTACTTAAACGGCTGTACAGGGTGTTGGAGAATATTTTGTATATTGTATTCAGAAGAGTTATACCCCTATAATTTTTACATTCCACCAAATCTCCCTTTTTGTGTAGTGGACATATGATTCCAGTGCACCATTCCTCTGGCATTTGTTCTTCTTCCCAGACTTTGACAATTATGTTGTGAATTTGGTGCATAATGCTGTTACCTCCATGTTTGATGAGCTCTGCGGGGATACAATCCACTCCTGGGGACTTGCTATTTTTGAGTCGTGTGATTGCGTCTTTCACTTCAAATATTGAAGGAGGTTCTACGTGGGTGTTATTTCTTGGTCTTTGGGGTGACGCATCATTTTCCACTTCGGTACTAAGTAGTTCTTTGAAGTGCTCAACCCATCTGCTTTGTACTGCGTCAGCGGTACTGACTATATGTCCATTTTTGTCTCTACACATCGTCAGCCGCAGTTTAAATTCTTTTCTTGTCTTATTTAGGATATTATAGAACTTTCTAGTTTCATTTTGCCCCTTTAATGATTGAAGCTTATAAGATTGAAGATGTATGCGTTTTTTCCTCCTTCCTAAGATCTTTGTACATTTGCTCCTTATCCCGTGTTCTTCTTTGTTGCATAAGTTTATATGCATAATTTTATCTTTTAGTGATATCTTCACATTCATCGTCGAACCAACTGTTGCGTGGAGTGGATTCTTCTGGTCCTAGGACGTTATTTGCCGCTTCCTTAATTGTTCTTCTACATATATCCCATTGCTCGCTAGCTGTTAAATTCTCATCTGTTGTTCCTTCATGTTTAAGGTCATTTTGATTTTTTGAAGAGTTTTAAATGGTAGCGAGTACTTTTCTTACCCTTTTCTTTTTTTGCATTTGAGATTCTTGCTCTTATTTTTGCGCCTACTAAGAAGTGGTCTGAATCTATATTAGCTCCACGATAAGTACGTACATCCATTAGATTAGAGAAGTGCCTGGTTTCTATTAGGATGTGATCTATTTGATTTTTGGTTGTACCATCAGGCGACGTCCATGTTACTTTATGGATATTCTTATGGGGGAAGTAGGTACTTCCAACGACCATGCCCTTGGATGCTGCAAATCCTATTATTCTATTTCCATTGTCGTTGGTGACGCCATGAGCGCTGCATTTTTCGATGTACGGACTATATATATTTTCTTTCCCTATTTTTGCATTAAGATCTCCAATTATGATCTTGATATCGTTTCTGGGACATCTATCGTAGATGGTCTCTACTTCCTCATAGAATTGATCTTTGACATCCTCTTCTTTGTCTTCGGTTGGGGCATGTACATTTATGAGACTGATGTTAAAAAACGTACCTCTTATTCTTAGGTAACATATTCTTGGACTTATTGGTTTGAAGTCCATAATAAGATGTTTTACTTTTTTGTTAACAATGAATGCGGTCCCAAATTCGTGATTATTCTTGTGACGGCTGTACTATATATCGCATTGTCTCTTTTGGATAATTCCTTGGCCAGTCCATCTTACTTCTTGCACAGCAGTAATGTGTGCTTTATATTGAGTTAGTATGTCTATTAATTTTTTAAGATTTCCTGGTTCATAAAGTGTCCGCACATTCCACGTGTAAATTTTTAAATCTTTGTCCTTATTTCGTTGCATTGGTCGTCGTCGTAAGTTCCGTCCGGTTTCTTTAGCTGTAGATTTCGTAACGATATTTTTTTACGGGGTAGAGTTGTTAGCCCTAAGCCGAACCTCCAACCTGGAGGGCCAGAATTCTGCTTTTCGGTGAAGAACTTCTAAACAAGAATAGATTCCTAACCCAATAATTAACAAAAATGGTTATTTTATGTGTTTATAATATCTGAAAAATTTAAATTAATATAAGACTTTATATTCATTGCAGAGAAAACATATTTTTATGCTATGGATCGTTTCTGGAGATACAATGAAACATCACACGAGATAGATCCAGGTTATCCCCAACACATGCAACGATGGAGGGGGGTTCCTTCATATTTAGATGCAGCTATAACATGGAAAGATGGTATGTGACATAGTATACTAAATATAAAATAAATCTAACTGATATATATATATATATATATATATATATATATATATTATATATATATATATATATATATATATATTATATTATATCTAAGACGATCAATGTTCTTCGATATATGGCACAAAATCATTTTATTGGTCGATCTAGATTGTACAATTTTATTGTGTATTTCGTAATATACTTGATCACTTTAAATAGCTAGATTGACTGTAGGGTTGAAAGTGACAGGAAAATTTCAGTAGTAATATCTGGTAATATCCTTAGGACATTGATAACAGACAAGATAATTTCATGACAATCGAAAGCTCGTTCCTTGGTAACAGCACGAAGCCGAAGGCTGAGTGCTGTTACTAAGCAACGACCTTGAGAAATTTGTCATGAAATTATAAGGCATTCATCAATGTCCGAGGGATATTCGGCGGATAATTTTTTGAAAAAAAAAATTATAACTCAACATAACGAAACATTTATTTATTAAAAGTACAGTTAGTGAAAGAACAATTATTAAAATTTAAGTTAACATTAGATTCGTTGCTATTCTCTACTATAGAAATTTATTTGGATGAAGTTGTCAAACTCGATCGTGTTGTCATAGGGATTGAAAATTGCACTGAATACAATTATCAGTCTAATGTTGACATGATGGCGTGAAATTGTTCCACATGACACAAAATGACGAAATTTGAATGGTTGTTAGAATAGTCGAAAAATTATCGCCAAAATAGAACTTACACGAAAAAACTTTATTAACTAGAGTTTTGTACTGTGTAGTAGAAGTTTGTCATTAACCACTCGTAGAAGAGTAATAAAGTACTTCATCTGCTCCGCTTTGATCTATGGATGTGAAATCTCTGCAATATGCAATTGGCGTCAGAATCTGTCCGAAATTATTTTCTCGATAAAAATACAGTACGATATTATTATAATTATAATTGCAGTAGTATAATACATCTAATTTATTTTGTAGGCTTCACTTACTTCTTTAGAGGAGGTCTTTTCTGGAAATTCGACAACGACTGGATAATGGTAACGGACGATTCACCGATGCCTACCCCTACTTATTGGTTTGGATGCCCGGAGAAGAACAACATAGTTTTAAGTTGGTTTTTACGAGATCCCTGATTCTGAATATATTTATTTTTGTTGTATATTTATTGTTGTTATGTTATAAATAGAATTTTTACTAAATGGTTTTATTTTTATTAATTCCTGAAAGCAAGACGGTGATGAATTTTTTACATCATCATTCATATAATTACCAACTTATTCAGATGCACTTGTTTTAATGTCCATGCTTCCAAGTCATAAAGAAGTGTAGTGAATACGTAACACCGAAGCATTCTGAGGCATAGTCCTAACCTTATTTCCAAAAAAAATCTTTTTAAATTTAACGAATGATGCATGTGCTATTTCAATACGTGTCTTACTTCTTTGTTTAGTCTCTTTATGTCTAGTTCTAAGTATTTGTAAGTATCCACACTCTCAATTACAGTTTACTCAACAATCAATTGGATGATTGCATCTGCTGCTTAAGTCATGATCATGCATTTAGTTTTTTTTCAAATTTATCCTTAGTCCGTATTCATTACAGCATTCATTAAGTCGTTGTATTCATCATCAGAGGTGTAAAGTTGTGTTATAGAGGTAGCACCTTTTATCGGAACGACCACATCGAGCGTCATAGACGGGAGATGGTTCTTGATAACTGGTCCTCATAAGACAGCTAACTCTCACTTATGGCTCCACGTGCCACACCCGGGCAACTGCATTGGTCTGCAGGCTAAACTAAGTGAGGGTAGCCAAATATGGCGAAAATTTTACCGAGCGATTGACGGTATAAGCGATCTCCCACTTGCTGACCAACGGCTTCGGGCGCATGAGTTGGTAAGTGGTAGAGATCAAACTAGCACGCAGCGTCTGACCCAGAGTGGGCGGTTGCAAATAGCGTCTGTGTCCAGAGGATCGGCTAAAATACAAACCAGAGAAGGCAACGGGAAACCACTCTGGTATATATTTCCCAAAAAAACTACAATGAAAGCACAAACGGAAATGGCCCCTAGTCCCCGGCAGATCTTAGATCAAGGGGTGCGAAGAATCCCCGGGAGGAATAGCCTAAATATTTTAAATACAAACTTTAAGATTGCAACATGGAACGTTAGAAGTCTGTTCGAAACAGGAAAACTAGCAAATGCATGCCACGAAATGAAACGTTTAGGGTTGCAGATATTGGGTTTGAGTGAAGTTAGATGGCCAAGTACAGGTAAAGTTAAAACCATGAACAAAACTTTCTATTACTCGGGTAATAATGATCCGGTTTATCGTAACGGGGTTGGAGTAATTTTAGAAGACTAATATAACAATGCCGTCACAAACTTTGTGCTATTTTCGGACCGATGTCTTCTTATTCAACTATCCGGAAAGCCAGTAAATATTAACACCATTCAAACTTATGCTCCTACGGCCGATAAACCCATAGAAGAGCTAGAAGCGTGGTATGCTGACGTAGAAAAACTTATAAAGATGACCAAAAAACGAGACCTAACATTTATCTTAGGTGACTTTAATGCTAAGTTAGGTAGAGGAAAAGTTTCTGGATTGATCGGAGACTTCGGACTTGGAGCAGAACGACAGGGGAGAGAGAATGACCGAATTCTGCCAACAACACAACATGGTAGCGACAAATACATAGTTTAAATTACACCCTCGCAGATTGTACACTTGGACTTCACCACAACACAATGAAAACAAAGTAATCCGTAACCAAATAGATTGCATATTGGTCAACAAAAGATATCACAATGCAATCATCAGTGCAAAAACATATCCTGGAACTGACATCAATTCCGATCATATTCCTGTTGTTGCAAAAGTTCGCGCAAGATGGAAACTAATAAAGAAACAAAAACCTCAACACCAACTATTAGACATTCAATTATTGAAAAACGACACCATACATCAGGCAGTAAATAAAGAATTAAACAAAAATTTAAGAAATATCGACCACAATAGAATTAGCGAGTACGATGACATAAACGTTCTGTGGAAAACTATTAAAGAACAAATGAACAATGTAACGGAAAAACATCTAAAAGTATCACCTAGCAATAACAAACAGGAATGGATGACAGAAGAAATTTTACAATTAATGAACAAACGAAGAGAATCTAAAGGAAAAAATGACAAGGACGGAGAATACAAAAGACTAAATAGAATAATTCAAAAAAAAATAACCGAAGCAAAAGAGAAATGGCTGGAAACAAAATGCGTTGAAATAGAAGAACTGCAACAAATACACAATTTTTTTAATTTACATAAAAAGTAGAGTTTACATCGACTACCAAGAGAACGACTTTTTACACCATGCTGAACACGGATGGCAAACTACTGAATCAACGGAAGATAAACTGAAAGTTAATTACTATTTATAACTGGAATAAGCCACAATTAAAGATAAAAATACGTTTATTGACGTTTCAATTTCCAATTCGGAAATCGTTCTCAAAATACAAACAGTAAATTAAACAAATTTTGTTTTTTGTTACATAGTGAAAAAATTCTTCTAATAATTTAATTTTATCTGACTCATTTATATTGACAATTCAGACATACATTATGCATTTTAAAGTAGACGACTTTAAAATGATATTGCCAATATTGTTGAGTTGCGCTCCTGGGACGACTTTACTCATAAGATAGTTCATTCGATTACATGAAATCAACTTTAACTTGAGAATATCCGTCAGAAAAAATCATAGCATGTAATTCGTCTTTAAAAAGACAAACACATGACATGATGACAGTAAAATTCTCCTGTTAGTGATTCCATAGTAAATTATGAGGGAAAAACCAGGAAAAAAACCTCATAATACTATCCCGACATTGTAAGTATTTGTTCGTGAATTTAGTTTACCTTCAATAAACATCAAAAATTCTGATTTTATATGTTACGTTATTTAAAAAACATAAATGATGTATCCTCTATATGTTACTGACTTACTAATACTGGTATTTTCTTATTAATAACTTCTTCTTTCAATATTGGTAACCAGATCCTACTACATTCTGCCGAGGAATTTGCGACACAATTGGCCTCATTTAGCATAATTAGAGCCGCTTCTTTGATTTTTCTTTTTTTTACCATCCGTTTCTTTTAGGACTATATTTGAATTATTCCATTGAACCCTTTGTTCATTATCCCATGCGTGTTTACATATTTGAGATCTATCAAATTCTCTATTTTTAATATAAGATTGATGTTCACTTATTCTAACATTTAATGGCCTTGATGATTCACCTAAATAAAACTGATCGCATTCACAAGGTATTTTATAAATGCAATTCTTTGTCCTTTCTTGTTCATTGTTAGGTTTGGTTTTGGACAAAATAGATCTCAACGTGGTTTGTTGTTTTGAATGTTGTTGAAATGTTGAATTTATTTCCTATCCTTTTAAGTTTTTCTGATAATCCTTTTATGTACGGTATTGTTATTTTCCTCATATTATTCCTTGTGTATGCTGTAGGATCTCGTTCTAAGTTGTTCTGTTCTATTCTGACGGATATTCTCAAGTTAAAGTTGATTTCATGTAATCGAATGAACTATCTTATAAGTAAAGTCGTCCCAGGAGCGCAACTCAACAATATTGGCAATATCATTTTAAAGTCGTCTACTTTAAAATGCATAATGTATGTCTGAATTGTCAATATAAATGAGTCAGATAAAATTAAATTATTAGAAGAATTTTTTCACTATGTAACAAAAAACAAAATTGGTTTAATTTACTGTTTGTATTTTGAGAACGATTTCCGAATTGGAAATTAAAACGTCAATAAACGTATTTTTATCTTTAATTGTGGCTTATTCCCAGTTATAAATAGTAATTAATACACAATGCCACAAGAAAATAGCTTTAGAACAATATAAACTGAAAGAATGGGAAAACTATATTAAAATTCTTTTTCACGACATACAAGAAGAACCAAGATTGGAAAATAACAACGAAGGGCCAAAAATTCTGAAATCTAAAATCATAAATGCAACTAATCATCTTAAAACAAGTAAAAGCCCAGGTCCAGACAAAATATACCCAGAAACGTTAAAATTAATCAACGAAGAAAATATCGAAATATTTGTCCTTTTATTCAATCCATTTATGATACAGGTAAAATACCCCAAGATTGGCCAGAGTCAATATTCATCCCACTACCAAAAAAGCCAAACCCACAACACTGCAATGAGTTCCGTCTGATAAGCCTTATGAGTCATGCAGTAAAAATCCTACTAAAAATCGTACATAATCGTATCTATAGAAAGTGCGAAACAATTATCGGAGACGATCAGTTTGGATTCAGAGCCGGCATGGGAACGAGAGAAGCCCTGTTCAGTTTACTAGTTCTCGCCCAAAAATGCTACGACCAACAGAAAGATATATTTATATGCTTTATAGACTTCGAAAAAGCATTTGATAGAGTAAGACACGACCTACTATTAGAACGTTTGCAAGAAGTCGGTTTAGATGGAAAAGACATCACATTCTTAAAAAACTTGTACTGGAACCAAAACGAAAGAGTTAGGATCGAAGGTTCCACATCCGCAGAAGTAGAAATTAGGAGGGGAGTTAGACAAGGATGTGTTCTGTCGCCTCTGCTGTTTAATCTTTACTCCGAGTTTCTATTTAAAGAGATTAAGCATTGGAGGATTCCAAGGTTGGAGTCAATGTGAATGGCGTAAATATCAACAGCATCAGATACGCCGATGATACAGTGTTAATTGCGGATTCCGACTTAGGTCTACAACGACTCATCGACAAGACCAACTCGACCTGTGAGCAATTTGGTATGAAAATAAACATTAAAAAAACCAAAGTGATGTCAATCCGAAAAAACCAAAACGTACCTCAACCTTGCACAATAAATGGGCACATTTTAGAACAGGTCAATAGATTTAAGTACCTGGGATGTTGGATCGATAGCAGCCTAAGTTCTGATCTAGAAATAAGATCGAGAATGGAACAGGCCAGAAAAACTTTCGAAAAATAAAAAAAACTGCTTTGTGATTCTCGAATAAAACTCGAAATTCGACTACGTTTATCAAAATGCTACGTCTGGTCGACTCTTCTATATACAGTTGAAACGTGGACCCTTAAAACATCAACCGTAAATAAATTGGAGGCCTTTGAAATGTGGATCTATCGGAGAATACTCAAAATTTCATGGACATCGCATACCTCAAACGAAGAAATGCTGCATAGAATAGGCAAGGAAAGAGAACTGTTTAACACAGTAAAAGTTAGAAGAACATCATACCTAGGCCACATACTGAGAAATAATAAGTACCAATATGCCCAACTTATAGTGAAAGGAAAAATCGAGGGAAAGAGAGGCCTAGGAAGGAAAAGACTATCGTGGCTCAGAAACATCCGACAATGGACAGGGCTAAATTTTGAACAGCTAATAAGAACAGCTGAAGATAGAGAAGAGTATAAAATTGTAGTAGCCAACCTCCATTGAGGAGAGGTCACTTTAAGAAGAAGATTCATCATCATCATCATTTAATCCGGATCTATCCACTGCTGGATATAGGTCTTCCTCAGTCTTTTCCATGTATTTCTGTTTTGTGCTGTTCGCATCCAATTTTTGTCGATCCGTTTTATGTCATCAGACCATCTTGTTGGTGGACGACCTCTACTTCGATGTGCTTCTTGTCTCGGTCTCCACTGTATTATTCGCTGTGTCCATCTGTTATGCGACATTTTAGCTATGTGCCCCGCCCAGTTCCACTTAAAGGTCATAATTCTTTCTATGGCATCTGTCACTCCTGTTCTCGTCGTTGTATTATGTTGTGTAAATCACTGCTGTTATCCGCCATTATTACTGCATCGTCTGCAGAACGCAAGTTACTCAAAACTTCTTTGTTGATAGATGTACCTTCTATTGAATCAAAGAGGTTCTTTAAATACCGCTGCACGTATAGACATTGAAGAATAGTGGTGACAGCATGCAACCCTGGCGGACTCCTCTTTGTATTTGTCTTGGGTGTAATGATTGTCAACGTTTACCTTGGCAGTTTAATTCCAATATAGATTAGATATAATTTTCATATTACTACTATCAAGATTTTTGCTTTTTAATATATCTACAAGTATTTATTGTGAACCTTATCAAATGCCTTTTTAAAATCTACGAAATATAAGTACATGTCCTGTTCCTACGTTCTACTACGAACTACGTTCCAGCCAACGAAATAAAGTTTTACCATTCCGTTAAATGTGATGACGTTGGTAATAATAACCATGAATCCTAGATTTCAGACACGGATGACGACGACCAAGCAGACGAATCGACTGATGTTGTGTTTGAATATAAAAGAAAAAATGTTTTTTTTTGTTAATTTTTAATAATAATAAATAAATTTTGCAGTAACTTTTTTTTATTTTTCCAGTAATAACTACAACGAATAATATTTATTATATGTTTGGTGCAAGAGAGGGGTAGCTCTAATTTTTTTTGCATTTTTTCTGCAAAAAGAAGCTGATATAAATAAAGTAAAAAGTGGGTAGGTGTACCAATATAATTACCTTTTAACTAAACTGCTTTATTGTGATTAATACATGATCAATTTTTATAAAACATTTCTTTTATTTTCCCAAAAGTTATTATAAATGGAACTGCCGCCTTCTTGCAGCAAGGTCCTCAATTGCTCTTTTACAGTGTTTACCATAAATGACTCAATGTCATGTAACAATAAAACACTGAAAACTTTGTTTTCAAACTTCCACAAAATTTATTTTAACTCTTATCACTACAGCTGTTTCGACTGGTTGCCTTTCTCAAGTGATTTTTGGCATGGGTTTACAATTTATAGTCCATAATGAAATAGGATGAGGAGGGGGGAACTGTTTATCTCAAGTTGGTCATTCAGAATTATATCTGTGTTTTTTAATTTGTTGATTTCCATAGATTCTAACAAAGATAGCTTAAGGCCTTTATTTTGAATGTGCAGAATTTTAAATTTGTCATTAAAAGAATGATTATGATCTAGAAGGTGAAGTGCGTATGTCGAATTTGTTTTTCTATTATTGAAAACCCTTTTATGTTCTGCTATTCGTTTATTTAAGTTTCTACCAGTCTGACCGATGTAAGTTTTTGGGCAGTCGCCACATTGAAGTTTGTACACACCACTATTTAAGTGTTTTCTATTTTGGCTCTTGTTATTTTTAACATATTTGCCTAGGTTGTTATTTGTTCGGAAAGCTGATGTTATTCCTTTCTTTTTTATGTGTTTGGCTTTTTTTGTTGTTATTTTGTCTGTATATGTAATCGAGCAGAAGGTACTGGGTTTTTTTCTCTGGTGGTGGAAATACTTATTTCAGGGCTTTCTTGTGTAATTTTTGATTTACCATTTTATTAATTGTTTGTACGTTGTATCCGTTGTTTACTGCTATTTTACTCAATGTCAACTTAGCTGTTTCTTGTATTTTTCTTTAGTTATCATTACCTAATTTCTATATTCTTTTCGTTTATGTCTTCTGTATTATCGCTTCTTCTAGATTTTCTCTGATTTTTTTCTATTTATTTGTTTAAACAATATTATATTTTCAGTATTATTAATTGTGTTAGGTCAAATAGACTAAAATATATCTTATATATAATTGGCACCATATTCAAAATATGCCCACTAGAAAAATGTGCATGCGCCCCTGCAGGACCTCTCACGATCCTGCGTATCTGGAAAAGTTGAATTATCGATTCTATAGGGTGCTGGCGGTAGCCATATTACAGAAACAAACCAGTTCAGCAAGTGAAAATTCCTATATTTGAGTAAAGTAATTCGCGTTGAGTGATACGTCGGTGGCTATAATGTTTCGCAAACATTGATATATCTCATAGACAAAAATCGAGGCATGTAAGTTTGATTTTTTTAATTAATAAATGTCGTCGATGTAAGTCCTGCAGGATTTTATTTGGAAAAGTGCCAAAAGGTTTAATAAAAGACGTATATACAGATTATCTATTAGATTTTCTTTAGGAGTTTTATATTTTGTATATTATAAAACTGCTTTAAATGTGGATATTTTTAATCACGTAGATATTGAAGTATGAAAAAACATCATAAAATGTACCAACTGTAGATATTTTTTAAACATATTAGTAAAAGTAACGTATTTAATATATTTTAACGATTTTAATAAACTTATGGCACTAATCTAAAAAAATCTATAAAGGTCCATTAAAACTTATTGTAAAATATCACGCTTTGGATTTTTTTTTAGTAAATTTCATTGTTATTATGTAATTTACTATAAGGTAGTGCAGCGTAGCATTCAAAAGTTATTATATCATGTGAAATTGTTAAAATATTTGTTCAAATGTCATTAAAATTCATTAAGAATTGGTAGGTCATCAGGAGCGCCATCTCAATAGTAAAAATCACTAGATACCAAATGATGTATCCTGGAAATTATTAATTAATTAGTATTTTTATCTTTAATAGCAATATATGTGAAATATATGAATCGTGCAGTCATTAACCAATATTAAATCAACTACAATAGTATCAATAATACCATATCAGTGAGCGATTCGCCATCTTGGAATAATTTACAATTTTTTTAGTCTGTGTGATAGGTTTAATTGCATAACGTAAATTGATATAAAATATTGGATGTTTTGTATTGTTTTTAATGGCATTTGTATGTTTACTGGACGAGGACTTCGTTATATGATAATTTTTACTGATATAACATAATAGGTTTATGGAGTAGGTATGTGTGTTTGTGTGGTTTTTATCATAAATGTACATTTGGAAGTAAATACCATAAACGATATGAAAAAAGTCCTTGGCGATTGAGATCTGTTGAATTGAGTAAACGTTATTCAGCTCTATTGAAATAAATATTTTGTTTTTTAATATTTTTATAAGGCTTTAAGGAATATTTTGTAAAACTTTTAGGTTATTAGTAAGTTTGCATTTCAGCAAACCGATAAATAAGAATTGATTCTGCTATCTTCATCGTCACTTACTAAAGCTAAGAATGTATGTTATTAAGATTTTAATAAGACTTATACTATTTAACTTCTAAACAATTTTTGTTTTTCATGTCTTGTCGCCCCCTTTCTTCATTCTTTTTTACCCTTGGCTCGATAATATATGCAAGTCTCTTGTTGGTTATATCCAGTGTACAAGGTTATTCGAGATATTCGAGATTTGGTGAAATGCCAACCTAAGAAAAGATTGTGTGCAGATACTGGCAAGTGGATTTTTGGGTTAATACGTACATAAAACTTTTTCGGTATGTATTTCGCCTTAATAGCTACACATTTTTATATTATTTCCGTTAAAGTAAATAGAAAGTAGGGGAGAGTGGTCCATAGTGAGACGGTTTTTCGTCATTCAAGATTTTTTTACAATTTTTTCTATATCCCTTTCGCTCCTGATTTTTTTTAACTTGACCTAAAAATTTAAAATTTTGAATATTGGTTATTTGAATTTATTTAAGATTTATGGCGTTTGTTCCAAGTCAAAAAGTTTTTCCATATATACTTTATTATTATTATTATTATTATTATATAAGCGAGGGCAGAGGAACTAAGTCCCTATTATGCCCAAAAACAAAGAAATTTCATTTATCACCTACTAGTAAATAACAAAAATTACAACTAAAAGAAATAAAATTACAATTTTTGGTTTAAAGGAACAACAATATTTTAACTATAATATAAAACTGTCGAGTCTGTTTTTGAACGAGTTGGTAGAGGAAGCGGAGACAATGTTATCGTTGAGGTTATTCCAGCACTCAAAAACTCTATTTGGAAGAAAGTTCTGTCTTTGTCTTATAGAAAAATTTCATTTCTTTAGTTTATATTGATGACCTCTGAGGCGTTCATCTTGGTTTATGATAAATATTTCATCGAGGTTTTCAAAATTAAATTTTAGTATTTTGAATGTTGTAATTAAATCTCCATGTTGTCGGCGAAGTTCAAAGTGGTTAGGTTAGCCATACTAAGTCTTTCTGCATAAGACGGTCTTCTCGGTCCCAAAGAAATTCGAGTGGCTTTTCTTTGAACGTTTTCCAACAGAGTCTTGTCTCGAACCAGATCGGGATACCACGTTGGTCCAGCGTATTCAAGTATGGGTCTTACGTACAGAGTGTAAAGTTTGCAAAATGATTGCATGGAAACTCCCGAAAAACACCTCCGAATAAGATAGAGTCTGGAGTTTGCACGTTTACAAATAGAGGTAATATGATCGGACCAAGTTAGGCTGCTGTTCACAATAACACCAAGATCGTTATACGAAAACACAGATTCTAATGGCTGCCCGTTAACAAAGTACGGCACAAGTGGGTTATTTTTGTAAATTCGAAGCACTACACATTTTTCTGCGTTTAAGGGTAGTAACTACTGGGAACACCAAGTTAAAATAGAGTCCAAGTCCATTTGGAGGGTTAGCTGGTTTGTGTTTGGATTGGCATATATTTTTGTGTCGTCAGCGTAAAACGATATTTTACTTGAGACATAATAAGGAATATCGCTGGTGTAAACCGTAAAAAGCAGAGGTCCAAGGACAGAACCCTGAGGCACTCCACTTTCCACTAACCTGTCCTGTGAGAAAGATTCGCCAACTCTAACTTTGTAATATCGATCTGTCAGGAAATCATCTATCCAACGAAGTAAAGTACCGCGAACTCCGAAATGTTCTAGCTTATGTAGAAGTCTGCGCTAAGGTACACGGTCAAAGGCTTTAGAAAAATCTAGATAAACAACGTCGACCGGCTGCGAACTGTTAAGGGATGAGGTCCAGTCGTTAACACAATGTAGGAGATTGGTTAGAGTAGAGCGACCAGAGACAAATCCATGTTGTTGAGTTGGAATAACATGTTCCTGGAGAAGGAATTTGGTCATCTACTCGGAAATAATGGCTTCCATAACTTTGGCAACTACTGGCAGCAAACTAATCGGACGATAATTGTTGGGGTCGAGTTTGTTGCCTTTTTTAAAAATAGGGGTAACGGAAGCTAATTTCCAACTAGGAGGTAAGGAGTTTTGGATGAAAGGGGTTTGCATAATTAACGTTAATGGTATTGCAAGCGTGTCTGCGCACCTTTTTAACAGTTTTGGTGTTAAACCATCTTATACTGCGATACTCCATAAAACAATTGTTAGTATTGGTCAAACATAAATGAACTTTGCATTTGAGGCAATATATACGAGTTTTTCCCTTGCATCCAGTTTTCTTGCAACGCGAAGCAATTTTCGATTTATCATCAGTAGGTAAATGTCCTACATTGTCCAATCTTACTTCCTTCACTGGTCGTACTTCAATGTTATTTCTTTTAGGTATTTTCGGTTCAGGCCTTATCAAAAGTAGTCCTCTTTTTTGTATTGACTGTTTTATCTATGGCTAAAAGAACTTCAGCAATTTCTGCGCGAAAGAGCACCAAATATAAGATTCTTTGCTTTGGTATTTGCAAATTTGTTGCTTGTCTGCTATATTCTAGCCATCATTCATATATACTAACTCTATATCAGGTGTAAACATTCGCAACGTCCATTTGCGTGGCCTAATAAAGGTCCTTAATAAATAAGCGTTGAATGGCGAACATACATACAATACTTATTCTCAGACGATAGACCAATAAATATTGATAGACAAACACACATCGAAAATAACTACTTGCCCATCTTAACATCAGAAATAAAATACGCCTTAAAAAATATGAAAACCGGGAAAAGCCTCTGGACGTGACTACGTTCATAGTGAAATTATACAACTTTTGAAAGAAGACAATTTAGAATTATTATCAAGACTCTTCAAGAGTATATACAAGACTGGTACAGTTCCACAAGATTGATTAAGGTCCACGTTTGTGCCTATACCTAAATCGAACTACGCAAAAAAATGTAATGACTTTCGATTAATAAGTCTCATGCCCCACATATTCTGAAGCTATTTCTAAAAATTATCCATAACAGAATTTACAACGAATGCGAATAAGATATGGGTCCGGAACAATTTGGCTTCCAAAACGGTATGGGAACTCGAGAAGCTTTGTTCAGTTTCATTGTCAGTTTTAACAAAAAGATGTCTGAACTGAAATGGGTGATACTGAAACCATAAACATCCAAAGAGGAGTTAGACAAGGTTGTATACTATCACCATTATTATTCAACTTGTACTCTGATTGCTGGCAGTGATAAAGAACTACAAATTCTGTTAACCAAAGTAGTGCGAGAAGGAAGGAAGTATACGGCCTTAAGGTAAATGTAAAAAAAAACCAAAACAATGGTAATTTCAAAAAAAACACACACCAGTTATAAACATACTAGTCAACAACAATCTAGTTGAACAAGTGAAAAAGTTTAAGTATCTAGGCTGTTAGATACATGAAAACTTAGTAAGAGCGCCCACCAAAGTGACGTGGCATGTGGCAAGTTGTAAGTAGCACGCGACTAGCATGTTACTTCAAATGTAACCAATGCAAACGAATGATTAGAATGAAGGACGTCACTGTCATTTTGGTGTGCGCTGAATCATTCGTTTTCATTGGTTACATTTTAAGTAACTTGCTAGACGCGTGCTACTTGCTACTTGCTACTTGCCATGCCAGTTTAGTGGGCGCTCTCCCTTAGTCCAAGAACAAGAGGTTAAATGTAGAATAAAACAGGCAAGAAATACCTTCTTAAAGATGCGGCAGTTACTCACTACCGTAATCTTAATTTGTCCCTACGATACCGCATGATAAAGTGTAATGTATATAGTGTACCATTACATGGCGTAGAAGCTTGGACGTTAACAGTCAGCTCGTTACGACGTTTAGAGAGCTTTGAGATGTGGGTATTTCATCGTATGCTGAAAATTCTATGGACCGACCGCGTTAGGTGAAGAAGTTTTAAGGCATATGA